GCCTATATTTTTAAGATTTGGCTATATGAACAGCAATGTAATAAAAAACTTTTGTTGTTAGGTGTCACCAAATGGGCTCTGACTCATAGTGACCCTATGTACTGTGCCATCCTCACAATGAGCCCATCATTGCAGCCACTGTGTCAATCCATCTGGTTGAGGGTCTTCCCCTTTTTCTCTTACCCTCCACATTACCAAACATGATATCCTTCTCCAGGGAATGTTCCCTTCTGAAAACATGATCAAAGTAGGTGAGATAAAGTCTGGCCTTTCTCACATGCATATGAGGCTAATATCATTCAATATTATTGGAAATAGCATGTGAAAGCTAGACAATGACTAAGGAAGACTGAAAAAGCGTCAATGCTTTTGATACATAGCATTGGTGAAGAATACTGAAAATACCATGGGCTGCCAGAAGAAGGAACAAATCTGTCCTGGATGAAGCACAGTCAGAATGCTCCTTGGTAACTGATATTATAAGGAGCTCTGGTGTCATACTGCCTAAGGCATTTGACTGCTAACCAGAAGGTTGGCAGTTCAAACCCACCAGCCACTCTATGGGAGGAAGACTGGGCAATCTACTTCCATAAAGATTTACTGCCTCAGAAACCCAAAGAGGGTTGCTATGAGTCAGAATTGACTCAATGCTTTCCCTTGTTCTGTTCAAACAACAGCCTTCTGGTTTATTCACAGGATCTTCATGAGGACAATTAAGTGTTCTGGAATCCTCCTTCTTCACAATATTATCCATAATTTGTTATGATCCACACAATCAAATGCTTTTGCATAGTCAATAAAACACAAATAATATCTTTCTGGTATTCTTTGCTTCCAGCCAAGATCCATCTGACATCAGCAATGATATTCCTTATTGCACATCATCTTCTGAATCCAGCTTGCATTTCTGGAATTTCCCTGTCAATATACTGCTGCAACCATTTTTGAATTGTCTTCAGCAAAATTTTACTTGTGTGTGATATTAATGATATTGTTCGATAATTTCCACATTTTGTGGGATCACCTTTCTGTGGAATAGGTACAAATATGGATCTCTTCCAGTCAGTTGGCCAGGCAGCTGTCTTCCAAATTACTTGGAACAGACGAGTGCCTTCAGCACCACATCCATTTGTTGAAACATCTCAATGGGTATTCTGTCGATTCCTGGAGCCATGTTTTTCACCAATTCCTTTAGTGCTGCTTCCACTTCTTCCTTCAGGACCACTGATTATTGATCAAATGCCACCTCCTGAAATAGATGAACATCGACCAATTCTTTTTAGTACAGCAATTCTGTGTATTCCTTCCATCTACTTTTAATGCTTCCTGCATCATTCAATATTTTGCCTGTAGAATCTTTCAATATTGCAACTCAAGGCTTGAATTTTTTCTTCAGTTCTTTCAGCTTGAGACATACCATTTTACTTTTCTAACTCGAGATCTTTGCACATTTCATTATAATAGTTTACTTTGTCCTCTTGAGCTGCCCTTTGAAATTTTCTGTTCAACTCTTTTATCTTGTTATTTCTTCCATTTGCTTTAGCTGTGCTCCATTCAAGAGCAAGTTTCAGAGTCTCTTTTGACATCCATTTTGGTCTTTTCTCTCTTTCCTGTCTTTTTAATGACCTTTTGCTTCCTTCATGTATGATGTTCTTGACATCATCCCACAACTCATCGGGTTTTTGTTCAATGGTGTTCAATGTATCAAATCTGTTCTTCATATCTTCTTCAGATGGTCTGTAAATTCAGGTGGGATATAATCAAGGTCATATTTTGGATCTTGTGTACTTGTTTTAATTTTCTTCAGCTTCAACTTGAACTTGTATATGAACAATTGTTGGTCTATACCACAGTCAACTCCTGGCCTTATTTTTACTCAAGATATTGAGTTTCTCCATCGCCTCTTTCCACAGATGTAGTAGACCTCACCTCCAGTGAGGTCTACGTGTATAGCCTCTGTATATGTTGTTGAAAAAAAGCATTTGCAATGAATAAGCCATTGGTCTTGCAAAATTCTATCATGTGGTCACCAGTGTCATTTTTATCACAGAAGCTATATTTTCCAACTGCCAATGATTCTTTGTTTCCAACTTTTGCATTTCAGTCACCAATAATCATCAATGCATCTTAATTGCATGTTTGGTCAATTTCAGACTACGGAAGTTGGTTAAAAAAATCTTCAATTTCTTCATCTTTGGTTTTAGCAATTGGTACATAAATTTGAATAATAGTTGTATTAACTTGTCTTCCTTGAAGGTGTATGGATGTTATTCTATCACTGACAGCATTGTACTTCAGGACAGATCTTGAAGCATTCTTTGTGACAATGAATTCCATGCCAATGCTCTTCAATTGACCATTCCTCACATAGTAGACCATATGATTGTCTGATTCAAAATGACCAATACCAATTCATTTCAACTTACTAAGCTCTAGGAAATTGAACTTTATGTGTTCCATTTCATTTTGACAACTTCCAATTGTCCTGCATTCATACTTTGTACATTCTACATTCCAGTTACTAATGGATGTTTACAGCTGTTTCTTTCCATTTTGAGTTGTGCCCCATTGGCAAATAGAGATTCTGAAAGCTTTTACTCCATTCATGTCATTAAGATCAACTCTACTTTGAGGGCACTCTGGTGACATAGTGCCTAGGGCATATGACTGCTAACCAGAAGGCTGGCGGTTCAAACGCACCCACCAGTCACTCCTGGGAAGGAAGACTGTGTGATCTACTTCCGTAGTGATACTGCCTCAGAAACCCAAGGAGGGGTTGCTATGAGTCGGATCTGACTCAATGGCAGTGAGTTTGGTTTGGTTTTTGGTTTCTACTTTGAGGAGGCAGTTCTTCCCCAGTGGTATTTTGAGTGCCTTCTGACCTGAAGGGCTCATCTTCTGGCACTGTATCAGACAATATTTTAGGGCTATTCATGATGTTTTCCAGTAATATGCTAGACTTTGTTTCACTGCTATTCATAAGGTTTTCAGTGACCAGTTCTTTGAGAAGTGGATGGCCCCTTCCTTCTAGTCTCTCTTATTCTGGAAGTTCCACTGAAACCTGTCGACCGTGGGTGACTCTGCTGGTATTTGAAATACCAGTGGCAAAGCCTCCAGTCTCACAGCAACACGCAAGCCAACACAGTAAAACAAACTGACAGAAGAGTGATGGTGATAAAAACTCAGGCAATGAAAATATATTAAAAACCTAGTCTCCCTCTACAAGCAATCTAGTTGAAATAATGAAAGAAAAGCAATCGAGATAATTCTGATCCAAAAATGCTCTTTGTCCAAATGATCTATGATCTATGTAATCTATAATTTATAAGGAATTTCAATGGAGTTGTTAGAAATAGAAAAGTCATGGAAATGATTTAACTATCTAACACTAAGAGGCCAATTACATAAACTATGGTAGAACCATACATTCATTGGGAAAACTTCCAGTCATTTAATAGAATGTGGTAAATCTGTGCACTGATGTGGAAAGTATTCCAAGTATATATATTTTTAAGAGAAATAGGCAAAGGACAGAGTAGTATGTATAGCATTCCCCCATTTGTAAAATCCATGATGCCGTGTATAGTCTTGTAAATGCATAGAAAATTTCTCATACAATAAATAATTACCTGTTAAAAGTTAATTGCCTCCAGGGTTGATAACTATCTTCTGAGGTAATAGGGAATCTTTCTTTTCATTGTTATTTTGTATTTCAGCACTGTTTGAGTTTTTATGATGTTTGTAAAATACTTTTTAGAAAGAAAAAAATACATAGCTGTATAATTATAAACACTCCCTTTCATTCTCTGCTAGGGTGAAACAGATATCCTTATTTCCCAAGGGAGTTAATTTTCCTAATTCTTCCTTTATCTCAGAGAAAGATAAAAAAAAATTCCAAACATGAGATTTATAGTGCCTCTGTTTTGTTGTTGTTGTTGCTGTTATGTGCCGTCGAGTCAGACCTGACTCATAGGTACCCCTCCTTGGGTTTCCGAAGCAGTATCACTACGGAAGTAGATTGCCCCATCTTCCTTCCGAGGAGTGCCTAGTGGATCTGAACCTCCAGCCTTCTGGTTAGCAGTCAAGTGCCTTAGGCACTACGCTACCAGAGCCTCTGTTTTAGAATCTATAATATTTAAGAGTATCTAATTCATACACTTTGGGTATTTCAAATGCTAGAATGGAATGAATGAATAGAGTATGGATATAATCAGCATGGATTAAAAAGAAAAAAAAATTTACCCACCATTACCATTTTAGCTGGACTTTTGGTTTCAATCTTCTCCTTTTTCAGACCATTCAAAGAACAAAACTAACCTGTTTTAGTCTTACCCCTCCTGTCCTGTCTCCCTTTTGCATTGTGGACATGGATAGGGGAAGAACAAGAGAAAAAGAAAGAAGGAGATGAGATATAAGAAGGTTAGAAATCTCTACCCTGACTATCAATTCTTAAGTAACATTGAAATGAAAACCCTTGGCTGAGAGTATTTGAATGTTACAACTACATAGCTGTTAGCCAGGCCTAGTTGGCTTTGGGATATTATAATGCGTTTTACAGGATCTTCCTACTTCTCACACACTAATATCTTCCATAAAACAGCTTAGAAAATAAGAAAATCCAAAGCTTGGCCATTATTTCATATATGCTTTTTCTTTTATCGGCGTAAATTTGGAATACAAATTTATAGCATCTCATTGCCATTTATTCCTTCTTACAAATACTATATCATTGGGTAGTATGTGCCAAGATGTGTCCAGAGCCTTGGGGAAAGTGAAAGGGAAAAAAAATAAAGACCACTTCTGGGACAGTCTAACAGGAAAGACACTCATGTAAAACAGAACTAGGAACAAGTCTCAAGCATTTGATTACGGTAAATGAATATGCCATGGCCCTTGGAGAAGCCATGATTCAGGCAGGGCAAATGGTTCAATTAATCCTGTTTTTCAAACAAGTACAGAAGTTTGACATTGAAGTCCATGTCTCTTCATGTCCGTTGCAGGTACTGAGGTTAATAAGCCCAAAGATGGAATGTCCTGGCCAGTGATTGTGGCAGCTTTGCTCTTTCTCTGTGTGATATGTTTTGGCCTTGGGCTGAGAAAATGGTGTCAATATCAGAAAGAAATGTGAGTATAATACTATTGTATGTAGGAAAAGATCATTTTTCAAAACAAAATGTTTACTCAGCACTTTAAGCATTGTTACTTCATGGAGTCCTCTCATATTTTACTGAAGAAATACATCTCAGGGAGGCTCAGAGAGGCTGCCCAGCTTGTCCAGAGCGACACAGTTGGGATTATAGGCACAACTCCTGACTCCGTGTTCTGCTCTGCATTGGTCTGTTTGAGCAGTAATGCTCACAATGTGGAACAAGTCAATGGGCATGAAATGAGAGCTGAGCCTCACCTCACCCCAAAACCAAAGCTGATTTTTCTTTTAATCTTTATTAGTTTTTCATTTTCATGCATCTCTGAACTGCTTGGGCCCAGCTGGGGCTAGATGCTCAAGTGTGAAATTGAGTGAGAAAGGTAATTTTCAGATATTTTCAGCTCTTTTTCAGCTGACTGGGCTATTACTGCCCTTTTCTTTTTTTCCCCAAGGGAAAAGGAAAGTAAGCATTGGATTACCTCTTTTTGGTCTTACTGAAATATCTTCCATTTAGCAATCTGAGATGGCATGTAAGATCAAGCCTCCCTTTCCTGACTTATCTATTTTAGATCAGTCTGGATTAGGCCATGATCAAAGCAGACCCAATAATGCAGACATGAACTTCCACATCAGTATTTCTACTGCTGTCTAAGATAACACTAGCCATTATGCAATTTCCCCTTCTACTTTTTGTAGAGTAACCTTGAGGACTCTGTAACCAAATGTGGGAGTGTTTCATGGTGAAAACACTGAGTAGTTAGAAATTCTGGGTTTTTATTCAAGGACTGCCCCTTGGCCACCAGACCTTGAGAAATTCATAATTTCTCTGAGACTCCACTGAAAAATAAATAAGTGAAACCTGAAGCATGTATCTTTTAATCTACCTTTTAATATGTTAAATTTTCATTAAAGCGTCAGAAAACCAGACAACAATCCTTAAGACTCTTTATACCAAAATGAGAAAATGGGAATCAGAAAATAAATCTGAAATAATTTTTTTTATTATTCTTTATTCAGATGCCTATGTTATATGGAGATGAGAAACATTCCTCCTGCTCTTTCCTCTCTTGCCTTCCCATTTCTTCTCTCTGCCCTCTCTCTCTCTCTCAGTTAGATGCTATAGATTGCCAGGCAAGGTGGAAAGATTTTAGTTCTGGGCATACAGATGCTCACAGATATAATTCTGTGTTCTGACATCAAGATAGGTGGAACGTTTGTACAGCTAAATCCTTCACTAACCTGGGTGCTTGATGCCTTTGAGACCAAGAGAAGTATTGTGCTAACATACAACAGTGCTTTGTACATAGATAGCCTTAAGGATGTTTACTGATTCACACAGGGGGGATCCTGACTTTATCCAACCAGAACTTGCTCAACTCAAGGAATCAGAAGAGCCTTACCTCCCATTTCTACCCAATCTCCATGGGGCACAAAGGCTGCGTGGTGAAGGTTGAGGGTAGTAGGGTTGGCAGAGGGGCTATTTGAAATACTTCTGTTTTAAGTCCCAGAATGTTAAAACTTTGCCTCCGGAAGAGGAAAAAGATATGTCTTTTTGGTAAAGCTCCTTCCATCAGGAGGCAGCTGCCATAGCGAACACAGCTTCTGGTTAAAAAACCGGAATTGCTGGTCTGTTTCTATTGAGAAAGTTGCTTAGACCTTCCATGCCTCAGTTTTATCTGTAAAATGGAGACAACAATACTCAATTCATAGATGCAAATTAAATAATGGTATGATAATGTTCTTTGCAAGCTCTCAAATGCCATGTAAATATTAATTAATGGTATGATAATGATGTTCAAATAGGTGATAGGTCTAAGAAGCGTAGTTAAACCAGGAAAAATTCTGTATCACTTTTCCACTAATCTGTGTAGTTTTAAAATTAAATAAATAAAAATTATTATTATACATTATATAATATATAATAATATATTGAAGGATATATATACATATGGTAGCTCTAGTAGTGTAGTGTCTAAGTCATTTGACTGCTAACCAAAAAAGGCTGGTGGTTCAAACCCACCAGCCACTCCTTGGAGGAAAGATTGGGCAATCTACTTCCGTAGTGATACCGCCTTGGACACCCAAGGAGGGGTTGCTATGAGCTGGAACCTACTCGATGGCAATGAGTTATATATATATATATGTATATATATATATACATATATATATCTATATATATATCTATATATCCTTCAAAAATTTCCTCACATTCCTAGCCTTGAAAGCACAATGTTTTGTTTCTAGCATGGAGAGACCCCCACCTTTTAAGCCACCACCACCTCCTGTCAAGTACACTTGCTTTCAAGAGCCCACTGGAAGTGATCTGCCTTGTCATGAGTTGGAGACTCTCTAGTCCTTGGAGACTTTGCCATACAGTGGAGCAGTGCTGGAATACTGTTGATATGGTAGATGTAGTGCTTGAAATATAATCACCTCCAGCCAAGGCTCTGCTGCAGCTGAAATGGATGACAGAAATTGAGTGACCTCTTTTCCCAGCATCTCACCTTCTTTCATCTGCATATGCCTGAAATTTAAAGAGCAGTGAGAGGATATGTGGTGCTCACACTCAATGAAATCTATAGGGATTTTCTTGCTTATGTAAGAGGTGCAAATTAGGCTACTGTTATTAAAAAAAAAAAAAGTCCTTGCAGTGTTTTTGTTTTTCATTGGAAATCTCTGATTGAGGTGACAACAATGACTTCAACCATATACTTATAGCAAATCTTCTTCTCTTTGGCATCTGGCAACATCCTACATTATTTAACAAAATTATAATAATATCTGAGGTTCTTTTTAGTTTTTCTTTTTATTCTCTAACAAAATTTTAGATTAAATGTACAAGCAAGTCCTAGCAAGTCTGAATAATAGGAAAGTTTGGCTAGTCTTGGTAATAAAATTTTGTTGTTTATTTTCACTGGAGAAAAATAGAACACAAGAACCAAATTTCCAATTTTCCTTCACCCCTCCTGCCATCATATTCAGTCTCCTACCCATGGAATGGGATGAATGAGGAGGGTCAGAGAGAGAAATAGCCAACAGCTGAGTAGCTTCATAGGTATGTCTTCACTGGCCTCTAAAATTGTATGAGATGATATTTCTATGTACATATTTTTATGTGTTGTAAGAATGTCCATATATATAAAAGAGCTAACAAGGGCCAAAGTTATAAAAAACTTCTTGGCCATAGCCAACCACTCTGAGAGAGTGAATAGTTGGATCTGTGGGCTCAGGACAATGATCACAGGGGACATCAAGCTCAACTGGCATAACATACTACACAAAAACATTGTTCTACACCCTAATTTGCTGAGTAGTGACTAGGGTCTTAAAATCTTGCAAGTGGACATTAAGATGCAGCAATGAGTCTCTCCTCATCTAGAACAAAGAAGAATGAAGAAAACCAAAGACACATGGAAACAATTAGTCCAGTGAACTAGTGGACCATGCAAACCTCATCTTACATGACCATGAGACCAGAAGAACTAAATGGTACCCGGTTACCACTGTCAATCACTCAGAAAGGGATCAGTGCAGAAGATCTTGGATAGAGTTGGGAAACAATGTAGAGCAAAACTCAAAATCATTAAAAAAAAAAAAAAAAAAAACAGTTCTACTGGTCTGATAGAGGCTGGTGAGACCCCAAGACTATGGCCTCTAGTTATCCTTCAGGTCTGGAATTGAACTCACTCCCATGGCTTCCAGCCAAATAATAGACAGGCATATAGGGTGAACATTTATATCAGATAGATACAGTCCTTAGAAGATCAGTCATGGAAGAACAGAAGGGCAGTATTTGCACAGGAAGATAACTTATGGGGCAGGAATACATAGGAAAAAATAAAAATAAATTGTATGAGCTAAGAGTGGTCTCATACTCAGTTTTGTCTATCCATGTGAGTGTGCATGCATCAAACAATTATCCAAATTTTGAATAAGTAAACAGGCAGCCTAAACTCAAGCCAACCTGCAGTGCAGTGAATTGCTTAATATGGCCTTTCTATCCATCATCCTCCATTTTGTCATATATTGTAAATCCTAGTCTCTATGCCTCTTTAGGGTGAGATGAGTTCTTCCTTGCTTGAGGGTGTAGCTCATGTCACCAACCACCCTTAGTTTCCTTAAGGGTATATCTGTGAATGTTCTGGGAAGGTTCTCTCTCTTGCTCTGGTCCTGCATTTGGTTCATCATCATCCTACCCCTGAACTTAAGACAGCAGCTGGTCATCGGACCTGCCGATCTAGGTTCACCAGCCTCTGTGACTATGGGAGTGGGGAGAATCCTCCATATCCACCCATTGACTTTGGACTTGCCAGCTTCCCAGACTCCACCACATGAGCTGTTTCCTTGGCAGTTTGTGAGTTCTGTGAGACATTACAGTGAAATATAGAACCCTAGGACAACAGGGGGAGCTCTGGTAGTGTAGTGCCTAAGGCACTTGATTGCTAATCAGAAGGCTGGTGGTTCAAATTCACAAACCACTCCTCGGAAGAAAGATGGGGCAATCTACTTCCATAGTGATACTGCCTCAGAAACCCAAGGAGGGGTCACTATGAGTCAGGTCCGACTCCACGGCACATAACAACAGCAACAACAACAGGACAACAGGAAGAGTATCGAGAGGAGGAGGAGAAGTTGATGTCAGAAATGATGGAGTGGCACAGCAGTTTGGAAAAGTTGGGCATTTGGGACATCTTTAACCTCCACCTCATAGGGACCAGCCTTGTGCTAATCCTTTAAAAGTTATTATTCGAGCACAACCCATTTAATTTTCATTGTCCCACCAGCCACTCCTCGGAAGGAAGATGGAGCAATCTACTTCCGTAATGATACTGCCACAGAAACCCAAGGAGGGGTCGCTATGAGTCTGGTCCGACTTGACGGCACATAACAACAACAACAACAGTTCTCTTTTTCATGTAGGGACTTATTCATCAAACCTGCCTGTTTTTACCTGTCATGAAACAGACAAACACCCTCAAAACACACTTCTTGTTTTTTTTCTGTTTTGCTAATGAACTCCTGGTGAGATCATGTATGTCAGAGGAGAATTGTACTCCATAATGTCCCCAAGGGCTGAATTTTCTGAAGTAGGTTGCTAGGCCTTTCTTCTGAGGAGCCTCTTGGTAGATTCAAACCACCAGACTTTTGATTAGCAGCAGAGTTGTTAACCATTTGCACCACTGACTAGCAATGAGGAGTAACCTTGCTCCTACCAACTTTTACAAACTAGTTCAACTAGAATGTGTAGGTGACAGAGAATAAACCAGAGTTTCTTCTGACAGACCTGCTCTGTAATTAACAGTTTGTGAGTGAATAAATTACTTTACTGAACTTCAATCCCTCCCCTGCCTACCTCAGGAGGGAAGAACATTGTTGATATATACAGTAATAGGCAAATCCTTCATACAGTTTAATCAAAAGCTTGGGCCCAAGCATCAGCACTCTCCAATAATTCAAAGTTTCAACCAAAACTGAGAACTGCTGAACCAGAGCAACCCGTGTAAGTTCCTTCCCATTGATCTGAATTCTTTGTTAGGTGCTTAGCTCTTGTAGCCAGCCTCCAAGATGGTCCCCAATGATTCTTGTCAACTGGTACTCCTATCCTTGTATAAACCCCTCAAATACTGAATATAGATTACTTGTGTAATCTAGGGCCAAGACTAGGATAAGGCAAATGAGACATCTACGGCATAAAATTTAAGGAAGTAGTGACATCCAGGATCAAGCAAGTGCCAACCCTGCATTTCCTGACAGAAAATGCCAGTCCCAGACATGGTAAAATCAATAATATACTGCAGCATGGCCACAGAGTGACTTCCAAGACTGTCATAAAAGACATCGCAGCTTCTTCCTTTGATCACTCACTCTGAGGGAAGCCAGTTGCCATGGCATGAGGACACGTGATACAGCCTTAGTAAGAGGTGCACATGTCAAGGAATTGAGGCCTCTAGTTAACAGCAAGCATCAACCTGCCAGGTTTGTGGGTGGGCCATCATGGAAGCAGATCCTCCAGTACCCAGTCAAGTTTTCAGATAACTGCAACTTCAGTTGACCTTTTGCCTAAGGCCTCATGGGAGATCTTGAGCCAGAACAATCATCTGAGCCTTTTCTGAACTCTTAACCCACATCCATGGTGTGAGGTCAGATCCTATTGTGTTAAGCCACTAAGTTTGGGGTCAATTTGCTACAAAGCAATAGATTACTAATGTAATTCAAGAAATAGAAAAACAAGCTAGGTTTGCCTTCCATAATTCCCCTAATTTCTCAATTGTCTTCAAGAAAGAAAATGGGGGAGGGGAGCAAGAACAGCTCATATATATGATTTTTGTTTCATATATACAGTCATTTTTATTTAATACAACTATCTCATTAGTAATTTGTAGAGAGGCTATTGTGGTCTTACTTTATTGTTTCATCAGGAGACATAAATACAAGTGAAGGTATCAAGACAAACAGTCCAAGAACTGGAACATGTTCAGATTGTTTCTATAGAGAGATAGACAATTTTACAGTACAACAAACATAAGCCTATGTAATTTTTCTATCTGTCATATAACAGGTGTCTCACAGAGTTTTTATATTAGTTCTCCTTTTCAGTACTGTCTTTTGGTTTTGCAAATAAGTTCTGGTCAGCGCTTACAAATTCATCTCCCACTACAATAGATTGAGAAGTTACTTATCCCTGGAGCTATGGTCAGTCATTGGTTCAGAGGAAATTTTTACAAAACTGCAAAATAAAGGGGCTACAGAGGTCTTTTAGGCAATCTGTGAACTTTACATACCTCGTATGACTAAAATGACTATTTCACCTGTGCCTTAAAATTTTGTGCAGATAAATCCATATAGAGCCTGTCTCAAACCAGCAACTCCTGTTTCTCTAGAAGTAGATTCAATCTGTCCTACATGAGAAGAAACAATATTATTCTCTGAGGTTTCCACCCATCTTCATCACTGTCTTCTTTTTCAGAGAAAGAAGCCATGCATAAACATTTCTTTCCACTCATTTCCAAAGTACACTGTGTTAGATGACATTATTGCTCAGAAATATTTACTTCAGTATGCACCTGCACCATGAGAATCCCTTAACTTTGAATGTGGCTATGTGACTTGCTTTGAACAATGGAATACCATGGGCATGACCAACCGAAGACTTAAAAGACGTTTGTATGTTTGGTCTCACTCTTGTTCTTTGCCATTGCCATGAGATGGACATTTTTAAGGCTATTCCACTAGTTTCAAGAATAAGGTAAGAAACTCGTGGAGTAGAGCAGAATCACGTGAAACAGGCCAAGCCTCGGTCAGCCAATACCACAACAGGCACATAAATTAAATATTATTGTATGCCATTGAGAT